CAGACCTCGGCGGCCATCGCGCGCGCGGCGCTTCGGCCGAGGAGCCGCTTGTGGGCTCGCGCGAACGAGAAGGCCCAGGCAGCGCCGAGGGGGGGGGGGGCACCACCAGAGGAACAAGTATCTGTTGGGTGGGGTTGTGGGGGGGGTTCGCGGGAGCCAGGGAAAGCCCCCCAGAACCTTCCCCACAAGATGTGTGTGGGTGCGTGTGTGTGTGTGTGTGTGTATGTGTGTGTGTGTGTGTGTTGGGTGTAGTTCCCGGGGGGTCATAGAACCCCCTCCCGGAAATGAAGGGGGAGGGATGGGGAAGGAGAGAACAGCAAGCGGGAGAGGTGGGAGGGGAAGGAGGTCGGGGGAGGGGAATGCGGCTGGCGGTGCAGGAGGAGGAGGAGGAAGGGGAGGATGGATCATGGAGGAGGGAGCGAGGAGGAGGAACAAAAGGTGCATGGGGGACGCATGACCCTTCCGAGGGCCACATTGCCATAGGAATGTAGAGGGCATGGGTCGCGAGCGCACAGGACACAAGGGCACCCTTGACCTGGCAGAGGCGATCCACTAATCAACCTCGACTCTGAGCGGACCTTCCTGGGCCCCCCAGGACTCCCACAGAAGGCCCAGGACGTTCCAAACCTCCGCGACCCGTTCACACTGGTCCTCGACCCTCGATCTACAGGAAGAGGTGGTGAGCCCCCTGGTGATGACCCCCCTCGGCGCTGCCCCATGAGCCGCCTCCGCCCGGCGTGAGGGAAAGGGGCGCTGATGGAATCGGGGCCTGCCGGCTTTCACCAACAGCATTGCTGGCCCAGCCCGCGGGTCTCCAGAGCATCCCTCGCCGGGCCTGGAGGTTCCCAGGGGCTCCAAGATGGAGCGACCAGCTGGGAACACCTTGGGCCAGGGACACACGGTTCCCCTGGGGTTTCCTGGCCCGCCTTTGACTCTCCAAGGCTGCACCGATGCTGCCAAGAGGGCTCCTCACGGCCTCATTGGCGGTCTTGGCGCAGTCTTGGAGGCCTCTTGGCCGGACCCTCGGCGGCCCGGGAGGCGGCGACACGAGCCCGCCAGAGGGCCCCCCTCCCTCACGCTCGCCCGCCCCGCCGTCCGCTGCTGGGGCCTCTGGGCTAGCGCGGACGCGCGCGCGCGCTGAGCACCACCCCTCCTCCCCAGACCCCCGACGTCGTGATTTTGTCGCAACGTCGACCCTCAGAGGTCTGGACCCCCTCCCCGTGACTGGCTCCTCATCCCGAGCCGTCTGCTGATGCACCCGAGGCCCTGTCTCGCCAGCGCTCGGACGTCCATTCCATGTGTTTCTGTTTCGGTTTCGTGAGTGGTTTCTTCGCCAAATGATCAAGGATGCTCCTCGACGGTCCTCGCCGAAGGGAAAAATGCACACGCCCGAGCGGTGCCAAGCTGTAAGGGCCCCCCCCCCCCCCCGGCGGCCGAACGCAGCGAAGCACACTCCGTCGCGACGCCTGCCTGGCGCGAAGGGGGCCTGGATCCCGCCGCTCGCGCCCCGCGGCTGCGCGGGCCTGCCGCCCCCCGGCTTCGCAGGGTGCGTGCTCGACGGGGGAGGGAAGACGGAAGAGGAGAGAGGAGGAGGAGGAGGAGGAAGAGGAGGAGAAGGAGGAGAAGGGAGGAGACGGAGGCGGAGGAAGAGGAGGAGAAGGAGGAGAAGGGAGGAGGAGAAGAGGAGGGAGGAGGAGAAGGAGGAGAAGGAGAAGGAAAGGGAGAAGGAGGAGGAGGAGGAGGGAGGAGGAGAAGGAGAAGGAGGGAAGAGGAGAGAGGAGGAGAAGGAGGAGAAGGAGAAGGATGGATGAGGAGAGAGGAGGAGAAGGAGGAAGAGGAGGAGGAAGAGGAGGAGGAGGAGGGAGAAAAGGAGGAGGAGGAGGAATCACCCCCCCCATCCCCTGCGCCCCTCGCCCTCCGCGCCTTCCGGTGCACCACGCACACACACATCACCAACAGCCCCCCGGGCCTCCGCACGCCGGCGCGGCTCCGCGCGGAGCCGCGCCCGACGCCCTCTTCTTCCCCGCGGGGGTGCATCCGACCGCGCCCAGCTGGGCAAAAGGCTCGCCGTCGCCGTCGTCGTCGTCGTCGTCGTCGTCGTCGTCGTCGTCGTCGTCGTCGTCGTCGTTAACGTGAACGTCGTCGTCGTCTTCGTCGTCGTGATCGTGGTCGCGGTCGTCGTGGTCGTCGTGGTGGTCGTCGTCGTCGTCGCCGTTGGCGTCGTCGTCGTCGTCGCACTCGTCGCCATCAGGTCCCTCGTGCGGTAACCAGTCTCGGTTGGCGGAAGGCCTTTACAAATCCGCTGCGCAACTTCCAGCTGATGGAGGAGGAGGACGGCAGGAAAGAAGGAACGAAGAGAGGAATGAAGGAAGGAAGGGAGGAAAGAGGGTAAGGATGGAGAAAGGGAGGGACGAAGGAAGAGACGAAGGATGGAAGGAAGTAAGGAAGGAAGGAAGGGATGAGGAGGAGGAAGGAAGGAAAGAAGGAAGGAGGGAGGAGAACATGGATGGGATGGGATAGGATAGGACCGATCACGAAGCGAGGGTACGTGACCTGAGTACAAAGCAAGAACACGTGGCTCGGCTGCGGCTAAGGCTACTGATACTGGGGGAACTTACCCGCATATATACTAGTCGAGTAGCACGTCTGGTAGCTGTAATCTGCACCGTCTGCTCAAGTGGGAGACTGGGGGACGCCAAGCTGGCGTTGGTGAGGCCCCGCATGTGCTGACTCCCGTAGAACCCACACGAGCTACATAACAACAATCGCAATGCATGATCATATAAAAAGGGTGACGCGGGTGTGGGAAGCAATTGGCGGAGCAACTGAAACCACCCCAGTTGCAACTGAGACCGCCCCCAGTGGCGCCTAGGGGGCCGGGGGGCGGGCGGAGCAACTGAGACGGGTGGGCGGAGCAACTGGGCCAGCAACTGACCCAACTGACCCAGACTGCCCCACACTGCCCCACACTGCCCCAGACCGCCCCAACTGCCCCACTGTCCCAGACTGCCCCAGACTGCCCCAGACTGGCCCAGACTGCCCCAGAGTGCCCCAACTGCCCCACACTGCCCCAACTGCCCCAGACTGCCCCAGACTGCCCCAGACTGCCCCAGACTGCCCGAGCGTGCCCCAGACTGTCCCAGACTGCCCCAGACTGTCCCAGACTGCCGAGGGGGCCGGGGGCGGGCGGAGCAACTGACACGGGTGGGCGGAGCAACTGGGCCAGCAACTGACCCAACTGACCCAACTGACCCAGACTGCTCCACACTGCCCCAGACCGCCCCAACTGTCCCAGGATGCCCCAGACTGCCCCAGACTGCCCCAGACTGCCCCAGAGTGCCCCAACTGCCCCACGCTGCCCCAACTGCCCCAGACTGCCCCAGACTGCCCCAGACTGCCCCAGACTGCCCCAGACTGCCCCAGACTGTCCCAGACTGCCCCAGACTGTCCCAGACTGCCCCAGACTGCCCCAGACTGCCCCAGACTGTCCCGGACTGCCCCACACTGTCCCGAACTGCCCCAGACTGCCAAGGGGGCTGGGGGCGGGCGGAGCAACTGACACGGGTGGGCGGAGCAACTGGGCCAGCAACTGGGCCAGCAACTGACCCAACTGACCCAACTGACCCAGACTGGCCCAGACTGCCCCAGATTGCCCCAGACTGCCCCAGGCTGCCCCAGAGTGCCCCAACTGGCCCAGACTGCACCAAACTTCCCAGGCTGCCTCAGACTGCCCCAGACTGCCCCAGACTGCCCCAGACAGGCCCCAGACTGCCCCAGACTGCCCCAGACTGCCCCAGACTGCCAAGGGGGCCGGGGGGCGGGCGGAGCAACGGAGACGGGTGGGCGGAAAGAGCAAAACCGGGCCAGCAACCCACTGAAATAGATTAAAAACCACTGACCCAACTCGAGTAGCCGAACACACTACTGAAACTCCAACCTTGACACGCCAGCTGACCCAGACTGCCCCAGACTGCCCCAGACTGCCCCACACTGCCCCAGACCGCCCCAGGCTGCCCCAGAGTGCTCCAACTGGCCCAGACTGCCCCAGACTGCCCCAGACTGCCTCAGACTGCCCCAGACTGCCCCAGACTGCCCCAGACAGGCCCCAGACTGCCCCAGACTGCCCCAGGCTGTCCCAGACTGCCAAGGGGGCCGGGGGGCGGGCGGAGCAACTGAGACGGGTGGGCGGAGCAACTGGGCCAGCAACTGACCCAACTGACCCAACTGACCCAATTGACCCAACTGACCCAACTAACCCAACTGACCCAACTGACCCAGACTGCCC